GTTTCCAGCCTCATTTCGGGAAGAGGGTACGACTACGCCGAAGCTTTTCTTTGATGAGAGCTTCCCTCAATATATTAAGGAGACGCCGTAGTTAGTCTCAATGGACTAACTATGGGTCGTTTGGGCACTAACAACTATTGTGCTAATGCATCCATTAGATGTCAACAGTTGATCTTATGACTTTAAGTCTGAAGATATCCAAGTTATTCCTTGGTGGTTTCCAGCCTCATTTCGGGAAGAGGGTACGACTACGCCGAAGCTTTTCTTTGATGAGAGCTTCCCTCAATATATTATTAAGGAGACGCCGTAGTTAGTCTCAATGGACTAACTATGGGTCGTTTGGGCACTAACAACTATTGTGTCTAATGCATCCATTAGATGTCAACAGTTGATCTTATGGCTTAAAGTCGAAGGTATTCGAGTTATTCCTTGGTATTTTTTTCAACTACTTATTTCTATATTGTCTATAGTATTTACAAAACAAACCATCGTTTTTGCACGAAGGTTTGCAGATTCCTACTCGTGATCATTGTAATACGCCCAGTTATATGCCTTCTCCTTATATATTAATTCAAATTATTTTTTTCAGGCGTTTCGTTCCAAAATTGGGCTATTGAATGCAAAAGCAACGAAAAGGAAACCGCGTCGAAATTTCAGCCACAAAAACTCAAATTTAACCTAAGGATTAATAAAAGCCAAGAATGAAGATTTCTAAGTATTAAAAACATGATACGCTATAAGATGTGTTATGCATGAGTATTAACGTTATAAATTATTCTTTAAAGTGGGGCTTATAGGATAATTTATCGGTCGAATATTATTATGTCAGAATGGATTTTTTTCTCAAGGTATGATATGATGGAATTCCAAAATCGTTGCTTTTTGGACGTTCACGGTTAACATCTTCGAATTTTAAATTTTATTATATTAGAAAAACGTATCAAATTTAAATCGTTTAGAAAAGTGGTGTTCAGTTATTCATTAATTTGCGTTTTTTGGTAGATATAAATTCTTTTTTTACTATATATTCTAGCTTTAAGATCAGCTTTTCTGCAGTAAAATCTATCCAATATTTCTAACACTCCAATTCTTGCCTTAAACCCTTTCTCCTAACTCCCGCCGAATTTATTTAAATTATGCATTATCAAGCATTAATAGACTTTATTAAAATAATATCCAAAAGAAAATTAGTATAATTAACAGTCAATTAAGAAAATCTCTATACGATATTTTTTATACTGATACCTATTAAAATCTCACTACACTGATATTTTCCTTAAAACCACTCTTAATTAAAGTCTTTTTTTACCGATATTCTAAACCGCCTTTAATTAAAACGATTTTATATACCGATATTTATAAAAACCAGTCATATTAGTATAACTGTAATATTTAACAATTATGCATAATTAACTAAATTAATAGAAACGAAAAATAATAGCACGTTTAGTTATTTAATAATCGACCACCAAGTATATTCCTTTTTTGTCAAAATTATATTATTTGTGCATTTTTGCATACTTTTAATTAATTTTGATAAGAAATTCCCATATTAATTATATTTCAAAGTTAATATTTTCTAAAATTATTTTTTTAATGTTTTATTATACTGTAAATGCTTAATATCTGTGATTTTGAATTATTATATCAATGAGTCTGTCATATATACATGTAATAGAAATTATTTAAAATTTATTTTTTTAAATTTATTTAAACTTATATTTTATATACTTGTTTTTTTAAAACTATTATTTTTTTATATATGTTTTTTTTTAAGCTATTATATTTTTAATTAATTACAGTGGGTGGTCAAAAGTCACCAAACAATTAAAAAAAGTTTTTTGAAGAATCCCATGACTTCCAATTTACGTGAAATTATATCATAAACAAGTCATAGTTATACATATATTTATTTATTTACATTTTTATTTATTTTTTATGTATTTATTTAATTTATTATATATTAATTTAATTTGATTCTTTTTTTTTAGGTAATCTATACAAAATGTCAAAAAAAAAACTAATGGAAACACAAAGGACTGCTATTATTTACAGATACAACCATGGTGATTCTTATATCCAAATAGCTGAAAAAGTTGGTTGTGGTTGTACTACAGTTTTTAATATTGTAAAATACTATATTGAAACAAATTTTACTGTACCAAAATGTTAGATCAGGTGACCTCATTTTGTCAAAGCATTACAATACAATAATTTCAAGAAAATGATTATTAAAAAAAATTGTTGTCTTACAGTTAACAAAATATAAACTCTTTGGCAAAAAAAAACTGATAGATATTTTTCATATATACTGTCTGTCACACTCTTGATTTTGTAGGCTTAAAAAATTGTATCACCTGAAACAATCCTTTGATTTTACTGAAAAATATCAAAGCACAATTGGCATGATATAAAGAACATGAGAACTGGATAACAAATAATTGGTCCAAAGTATTATAGAGTGATAAATCAACATTTTCACAATTTTAGCAACTTTGAAATAGCTATATTTGGAGAAAACTAGAGAAAAAGTGGCTTTTGAATTGCATCACAAAAACTATCAAGCACAGTCCAAGTCAAATACACTGGGGATGCTTTTCATAATAAGAAGTAGGTTCGATAGTTCTATTGTGCAGTTCTGTAACTGAAAAATTATATACTGAGATCCTTTGAAAGTATATATTGTCGACATTACAATATATATTTTCCAATAGTAACTACTAGTTTCAAGATGATAATATGCCATTTCACCATTCAAAAGTGGTTATGAAATTTGTGAAGAAAAAATTGTTTACTCTCTTTCATGATCTGCACAAATCTCAAACCTAAACCTAATAGAAAATCTTTGGGTTGAAATCAAAAAGAATATATAAAATTGTAAAAATAAGCCATATAATTTGATAGAACTTGAAAAGTTTGTTAAATCTACATAGAAAAAAATCATTGTATCAATGATTGAATCACTGGTAGACAGTATGCTGAGATAGGTATTGGCTATAATTTTAACACATGGGGATCTACAAAATATTAAAATATTAAATATATTAATAAAGTAATATATATTAAAAAAAAAATTTTTTTTACAAATATAATTAGTAAAATAAAAAAATTTACTATTGGCATTTGAACTGTTTAATGACTTTTGACTACCTATTGTATTTAATTCAAGTTAACATAAGTAAAATAAACAATAAATTTAAATTATATTAGTTAATTTGTTATATAAGATAAAATAAAAAATTTATTTTAATTATTATTTTTTTGAAAAAGTTTTTCCCAATAGATAAACATTATTTCTTTATTTGATTTGTATATATCAAGGTATATATCATAAAAGAAACAATATCTCTTACTTATAAAATATAAAAAGTTAAATACTAACTTGTCTACTTTACAATATTTAACTAATATTGAAAAAAATTTTAAAAACAATATTAAAGTACTTTACTGAAACCTATCAAATTCTGACAACCTGGTCACGTGATCATCACGATTTTGTGACTGAATTGTGAAGATTCAATTGCGATTTAATGGTTTTTACTATGTCGCAATCAAATTTCAGCTATTTAATGGTGATTAAATCATCGTTTCAATGATGACATCGTCACTAACTCTTTTTAA